TTTTTTTTTTTTTTTTTTAACTGATATTCATATTGCAGACTGCAAGCTAGGTTAACGCACTAACGCAAGAGTTCATGGAGATCGTTAGAGAGCGCAATAGCTTGCAGAAGCAGAATGAAAAGCTGCAGAAGGAGAGGGATGAGATGCAGAAGAAGCTGGATGAGGTAGTACCAACAATGATGGGTCTTCAGGACGAGAGGAATTCGCTGAAGACAATTCTTTCATTTGAAGAAAAGAACAGGAAATTGTGCGAAGAACAGATTGAAGCACAAGATCAAGAAATAAAGGAAATGAAAGAGTCTGAGGCTAAGCTCAAAAAGAATGTGAAGCTGCTGGTACACATTGGGATGGAGGACCATATTGCTAAGTTCATCAACTCTAGCACTTTTAAGAACATTTTCAATCTTTATCAGCTACCTACCACGATCCTTGCCTTCACCGATTGTAAAAAGAAGGTGAAATCTCAATATCCCAAAGTGGATGTAATAAAGATCACCTTTGGCGAACAAGAAGAAGAAGTGGAGGAAGACGGTGAGAGTATGTCAGCTGATTTCCAACCTCAGATTAAGTTGAGGTGGGATCATGATGAAGAAAGTCACATTGTTTTTCCTCCTAATTTTGACTTCAAGTTCGTTGTGGTTGAGGAAGGGGAAGCAAAGGTAAAAGGCATTGAAGTTGAGGACAGCCAGCCAACTCCTTTAGTAGAGGTCCATCCAGTTCCCTTAGAAGAAGAGTAGCCACCTCTTCATGTAGAGCAACAGCCACCTCCCCCAATAGAGTAGCTAGGGTTTTATTTTTTGATTTACGGTTTGTGTTAAAATTGGAACAATTTGTTGATTTTATATTGAACATTTTTGTAATGTTTTTTAATCAATTCTTGGATTTACTTGAAGTTTGTTGTAATATTTGTTTTGGGTTTTATTAACATAAGAATTGAGATGAAGTGAATCACTTCGAATGTGAAGTGGAATTCATTAATAGAAGTCAAATCCAGGAATGAAGTGAATTACAAATTGATCTCAGAAGAAAGTTTAAATGAATGAAATTAATCTCAAAGAGAGAAAGTAATAACCATAAAAGGAAATAAGACAAAGTTCACTGAAAAAAAGTGGATTAAGGGTAAAATTTCTTCAAGTTGACATTCCAGACTCTAGGAACTCTTTTCCCTTTAGTGTCTTGAAGGATATAGGCACTAGGATGTGTCACTTCGGCCACTGTGTAAAGGCCTTCCCAGTTTAGTGCTAGTTTGCCAAAACAAGTTTCAAATCCAGTTAAGCCAGCTTTTCTCAGAACTAGGTCACCAACTTTGAATGTTCGAGGATGAACTCGTTTGTTGTAGAAGTTGGCTAATTTCTGCTTGTACACCAAAGTTCGAAGTCGTGCTTCCTCTTTGACTTCGTCAAGCAGGCCAAGGTTCTTCGAAGCAGTTGTCCATTTCGTCCTTCATCGAAATGGGTGACCCTGAAACTTGGGACTCTTATTTCAATAGGAATGACCACTTTAGTACCAAAGGTCAAGTGGTAGGGTGTTTCACCTATTTCATTGAGTTATAGTTTTTAGAATATGCTTTACATGTTATGCATATTTGACCTAGGGTAAAGCCATAGAAGAAAAAATAAAGTAGTTAAAAGTAACTTAAGTTGAAGTTAGTTACTTGTGGCAATTCGGCTCGTAGTTCTATATGCCCAGAGGATGTTGTTGGGCTTGTTTGCCCACCTGGCCTTGTGCTGCTCCAACCTCAATTTGATTCCCTCCAAGATAGCTTTGTTGATAGATTTTACCATACCATTGGACACCGGATGGTATACCAAGGTAAACTATAATTTGATCTTGTAATTAGAGCAAAAATCTCTAAATGAAGAACAGTTAATCTAAGTGCTATTGTCATACACGATTTGATTCGGGATCCCATATATGCAGATGATTGAGCTGAAAACAAAGTCTTCGACCTTCTTGGAGGTAAGGCTGGATAATGGCCAAGCTTCAACTCATTTCGTAAAATAATCAACACCAATAACCAAATGGGTTACACCTCCAACCTTTTTCGTGAATGGGCCTAAAAGATAAAGTCCCCACTGAGCAAATGGCCACAATGCCACCAAGCTGATGAGCTCTTCTACTGGTTGGTGAGTTAAGTGTGCAAAGAATTGGCACTTTGGACACCTCTGTACGAACTGGGTGGCATCTTTATACATATTCAGCCAATAATATCCTTATATGAGGACTTTGTGAGCTAGGGTTCTAGCGCCAATATGACTTCCACATACGCCTTCATGAGGATTCAAGCATCGAGGGAGTGAGAAAAATCTCTTATAGAGGACTCCATCAACAAGTGTGTACCGAGATGCTTTCTTCCTCAACTTCATCTCTTCTTGCTTATCTCCAGGCACTAACCCATCTCGTAATAAAAAACATTTGGATCTGTCCAGCTTGGTGTATTCGGATCTGTGCTGATCTCCATCACTTTTTGCTTTAGAAAGCTCGGCTCATCTAAAACTTCAATGAAAACTTATCTGAAGCTTTGGTAGCTATTAGAGGCGAACTTCGAGAGTGAATATGCCTATTCATTTTCAGCTCAAGGTATTTTGCTCAAACAAAATTTCTAGAATTTGCACCTCAGCTCGGCCACCAGGGCTACATACTTCATCATGACAGAATCAACCACTTCACAAATTGAGTTAACTTGATTAACCACGAGTTGTGAGTCACTGTATATCTGTATTGCAGTGACTTTCCTTTCCAGTGCCAGTTGCAAGCCAAGTAGCAGAGCTTCGTATTCGGTCATATTATTAGTTGCATCAAAATTAAATTTCAGAGCATGCTCACTTCGGTATTCATCTAGCCAATTAGGATTGCGCCAGCTTCGTAGCCTTTGTTACTTGATGCTCCATCAACATATAAAACCCAATTATCCGGCTCAGGCCTAGAATTTGAGTGATCTGAGGTGCATTCCACAATAAAATCTACTAGTGCTTGAGCTTGGATTGCGAACCTCTGTTGAAACGTTATTTCGAACTCCCCCAATTCAACTGCCCATTTGATCAATCTTCCTGAGCACTCTGGCTTCTGTAGAATCTATCAAAGAGGTTGGTCTGTGAAGACTATGATTGGGTATGATTGGAAATATGGCCTTAGCTTTTTGGCTGAAGTGACAACTACTAACGCTGCTTTCTCAACAATAGGGTATCTTAGTTCTGCTCTGTGTAGTATGCTATTGGTATAATAAATTGGTTTCTGTTGTTTCCTTTCTTCTCTCACTAGCACATAACTGATTACTTCATCTGAGATGCCGAGGTACAAATAAAGGATCTCTCCATCTATAGCTTTTGTTAACAAAGGCGGTGAGCTAAGATAAGACTTCAGCTCATCAAATGTAGCTTGACATTCTGAGTTCCATTCAAACTTCTTCTACTTGTCAGATTCATCCTTTTGAGCTACTGATCTCATGATCTTGAAGAATGGCAGACATTTATCTACTGACTTCGATATAAATCTGTGAAGAGCTTCCATTCTCCCAATTAGTCTCTACACATCTTTCACTGACTTCGGCGGTTCCATCTCGGCTATTGCTTTGATCTTTTCTGGGTCAACCTCAATCCCACTCTTGGATACCATGAAGCCTAGAAATTTTTCAGTCTCCACACCAAAGATACACTTCGTTGGATTCAACCACATTCTATTCTTTCTTAGGTTGTTGAATATCTCATCGAGATCAGCTAAATGATCTTCAGTTTTCTATCTCTTCACCACGATGTCGTCGACATAAACTTCCAGATCTTGCCTACCTGGGCTTGGAATACGATGGTCACCATCTTTTGGTAAGTGGCACCTGCATTTTTTAAGCCGAAGGACATCATGACATAACAATAAATTTCATCACCTGCATGGAACGAGGTTTTCTCTTCATCCTCAACAGCTATTGGGACTTGGTGATAACTAAAATATGCATCTAAGAGACTTAATCTCTCATTTCCAGAAGCTACCTCAACCAGTTTGTCAATGTTTGGCATCGAATAACAGTCTTTGGGACAAGCTTGGTTGAGATTTGCATAATCAATGCACATTCGCCATTTACCGTTTGCTTTCTTGACCAACATTGGATTGGCTACCCATTCACAATAATCAACTCTTTTGACAAAACCAGCTTGCAAGAGTTTCTCCACCTCTTCCTTTATCACCTTCAAGATTGCTTGCTTGAAGACTTTTTCAATGGATTGGTGTTGAGCTTGTGTATAGATACCGAGGTTGGAATCCCTAACATATCTGCTAAAGTCCAAGAAAAAACGTCTTTATTAGCTTGAAGGAAAGCTATTAGTTCTACTCTTTCCTTTGGGTTCAACCAAGTTCTGATCTATGTCTTTCTATTCAAATCTCTGTCATCGATCTGTACTTCCTCGACATCTTCAACTCAAGCAGCTCGGGTTTCATCTTCAGGTCTATTATCAAGTATTTCAACCCCCATGACCTGTTGGTTATTATGAACTTCCTTTGAAATGGTTTCTAGTGTCTGGTCTTTTCCTTGCTGAGGCCTTGTAACTGAAGTAATATAGCAATGTCTAGCCACCTCTTGGTTGCTTCGTAATGTTGCTATCCCCATGGGGGTTGGGAACTTCATGCAGAGATGAGATTGAGAAACAACAGCTCTGATCTCTGTCAATGTGGGCCGACCAATAACGACATCGAAGGACGATGCCATTTTAATGACTAAGAATCGAACAAAAGGGGTAACATAGGTTCGGCCGCTCCCAAAGGCAACATTGAGAGTAAGGGCTCCTTCTACTTGAACAGGTTGGTTGTTGAAACCATATATAAGGCCATCGTATCTGATAAGTTGAATTTATATAGATATTAATGTGGAATTTTTATCTTGATATTGTTGATATTTGGATGAGTTTTATGAGATTTTACTTGATTTTACATGATTTTACATAATTTTTATTCTGTGTAAAAAAGGACTTAATTGGAAGAAATCATAAAATTTAGGAGTAAATTGCAAAGATAAAAAACTTGAGGATCAACTTGTGCAGATCCAGAAGTCAGGGACTAGGACTGTTATTTTACCATTACAAAAATTGCTAAGAAGGCCAAAAAGCCGATAGGGTGACGTCGTTGAAAAACAGAAGTGTCGGTACCTTGTTGAAAGTGTTGACCCCTTATGCGATTTTCACCAAATTCGTGTTTAATTAGTTATTATGGGTGTGGATCCACTTCTATTTCAATTATGGTTTCTAAAATCCTATAAATACTCATCCAAATACAGAATTAAGGAAGCTTTGTGGAGGCTGGTGGCAGCCCTCTTTTGGGCATTTTTGAAGATCAAGAGAAATGATTCAACAATAGGAGATTAAGGATTGTAATTTTCTCAAATTGGGTTTTATTCTTCCTTATTATTCTTATGTTCATAACTATGATTTTAAATTTTATTATTTTTTACTAGGGTTACGATGTAGCCTAATCAATTCAATATAGATTTTGTGATTTTATGCTTTCAATTAAAGTTATTTACATGAGAAATTTATATTATTGAATTTAATACATTATAAGTTTGATTACCTTTTGATTGATTTAGTGGTCTATGCATGAACTTGAGAAAGAATTATGTAAATTAGACTACTAATAATATAAATTGTGTGCTAGACTATGAGACTGAGAGGTAATTAGCTCATATGTGATAGTGGAGAAAGAGAAGAGAGTTAGGAGCTCCCCCTTCTTAAACTAGAGGTTTTCATAAAATTTAATATTCATTAGTTTGTTTAAAACTATATAAAGATATGATTAATTTAACAAACAGGTGAAGGATTAATTTAACTTGAGAAAGCTAGTTAATTAATTTAGAAAAATCCGCTATCACATGCAATAACACTCAACAAATTAGCATATTAATCCAGAATTTATATTGATTGATTATGGTAAAACCAATGCTTTAGTACCTCATATCTTGGTTAGGTTTAATTTAATTATTATTTTTCTTTTATTATTTTTTAGTTAAACTTTCTTCCTTTTTGATAGTTCAAATAAATTTAGATTAATTATTTTGGTACTTAATTAGACATAATTCTCGTGGGTTCGACACCCCCTCATCATTATATTACTTGGAATGACTAATCCACTTGTTAGGGTGATTTTAGTGCATTAGTATCTCTACAATAGAGCTGGATCTAGGCCTAGACTCTCAAAACAGTGATAATACATGATATCCGGTGCACTCCCTGTGTCAACAAGGACGTGTTGTACCTCAGTTATTAATTATAACAGAGGTGACCAAAGGATCATTGTGAGGTGTTACAACCGCATCAAAATCAGCAAGTGTAAAAATAATTGGTTGATTCTTTCAGTCAGCATCATCAAACTTCCGTTTCTAAGCTCGTTTTGGTGCTTGACCTCTTTGACATATAACTTCTTCTGCTTGGAACTCAAACCCCCTGCTTTTAATCCTTCCGTAATCATGTATATAATTCTGGCTAATGGCAGAAGTAGAGGTGGGGCTTGTTGATATCCCACACCTTGCCTATTTGCTGCATTACGAGATCCCTGTGGCTGTGGTCCCTGTTCTCTGACAAACTTCGATTGCTCTGTTCTTTGACAAACTTCGATTGCTCTGTTCTCTGGATATATTCATTCAGCATTCCTTTCTGAATTAGACTTTTCAATTTGAACCTTAAACTATTACATTCCTCCGTTGTATGACTATGATTTTGATGAAAATCACAGTATCTAGCATGGTCACGCGTAGCAGCAGAACTTTTCATCGGCCCTAGTCGCTTCAAATCCATCTTATTCTTGATCTGCATGAATATCTGCGACCTCGACAGATTAAAAGGAGCTCATGTAACTAGTGCTTTATTGGTAGTTTGTTGGAGAGGTATCGAGTTCGGTCTTCCGAATCTCGGTGTAGAGGCCAACATCGGACCTCAATTTTGTATTGTCTTCGTCCTTTTTCTGCTCTAGCCCTCATCTCTCCAAGCTAGGTTTTGATTCTTTGCAAGAACTGACTTTTGTGACAAAGCATATTCCTCAACAGTTATGAATTTTAAAGATCTGTCATTAACCTCGTTAAAAGTGGCAACGAGATGCTTAATTAAGTTGTCTCTAAATCGTTCATGGTTAAGACCCTGAATTACAGCCACAATTCCCATAGCTTGATCGAATGAGCTAACCTCCAAAACTGCATCATTGAATCTGCTCACGTAATTCTTTAGAGATTCTCCATCTCTGTGCATGACTCGCATCAGCTTATAAGTAGTTTTTCTAATCAACCTCCTACTAGAAAACTTTGTAGCAAAAGTAGATGCCATCTCTATATAAGAAATGATAGATCTTGGAGGCAGACTGTAATACCACATTCGAGCATTGCCTCGGAGAATGGAAGGAAAGGTTTTACACATCAATGCATTAGAGGCATTCTAAGCCTGCATATAGGAGTAAAAAGCATGTAGATGATCATCTGGGTCCTTTGTTCCATCATATGTCTCGAGCTGAGGTATCTTGAAACCAGTAGGATAAGGTTCCAATGTTATGTTGGTGTTTAGAGGATGAGGTATTGAAGTAGTGTTATGGTGAGGAGGTGAAGCACCTCGCTGCTTGGCTACCATTTTTTCTAAGCTGTCTAGACGTCGTGTGACATCGTCAGGTAGAGGTTGTTGAGCTAGGATCACATGAGACTGACCCTGAGCCTCATTGAGGGCAGGAGCATGTTGAACTAGTTGGGGCTTTTACTGTTGAACTAGAGGTTGTTGAGTAGGGTTGAGTAGATTAATGAGAGGATCACCAAGATTATTTCGAGCTAAAAGTTGAGCCAAAACCAATTGAAAAACACCAAACTATTGTTGCATTGCGGTGAGCTGAGACTGCATCACCTTGGTTTGGGATGGGAGCTGAATTGTGAGTTGAATTGTGAGGTTGGTTCTTATCGCCTCCTTCTACATGTTTAATAGGAGGGAATAGATTCGTGATATGAGGTGGAAGGTTATTGAGGTATTGAGCTTGGCCTTGGGCAGGAGGTTGAGCTTGGCTTCCAGCTTGGATAGACCGAGTGTTAACCATGATGAAAGAACAACAAGAGGGCTTTTAGTTGGAATTCCCACAGACGACGCCAAATGTAGTTGCATCAAACCAGAACTCCTTCTTCAGTCCGTTTCTTCAATCCAGATAAACCTACAAAGCCCTGAGATGGATCCTCGAGATAGACACTCCGATATTTAAGTTAGTAATAATCATATCTACTTTTAAAATAATGGAAAAATAGAGTTTTAGGTTAGTTTCAATTACCTATCTGAGGTGACCCTTAGGGAGCATTTATAGGCCTTAATGAGATGTCCACGTGACCTAGTTAACAAGATAATCGGAGTCTGACGTGTCCCTTTAGGCAGTGATCTCAGCACCAGAAAATCAAGTGCGAACACACTCATTGTACTTATCATACAATTGTTTGATAGGGAAGTGCTGGATTTATCCTTCATTTTGGTTATTAACGAAACGTAGCAGTACGTCCGAGATTAAGAATCTCTAACTTATCCTTACACTTCTCTTTCTCCCTTCTTTATCCCCTGCGTGTGCGGTTCTAGGGTTATTGGAAGCATTTGGTTTTCGGGTGGATATATCGGAAGAAATGTCATCTTGGGTTGGCGATTTGTGGCTTTCCCCGAGGGTTTTGCCATAACGGGTTGGCACTGGTGGTTCTCTTGAGGGGCTTGCCGAGGAGTGGCTGATGCGGGGTGGCCACGTCAGTGGTTAGTTGCTCTTCGGCTGTTCGGCCTAGCCTAGGCGTAGAGATAGCATCTAGGTGCATGGTGAAGGCTACGGCTAGTGCGCGCGCTTGGGAGTTAATATTTCCTCCAAAAATTTTTTTAGTTGCTTGTGTTAGAAATATTCAACCACGTCACTTTTGAAAAAAGATTTTCGATCTCTACTTTTTATAAGTTTAGAAATCTGTTTAAAAGTAAATGAAATTTCATCATTTGATTAATTTAAAAAATACACCAATAATATCATGATCAAATAAAGCTGTATTTTTGCATGAAGGTACACAAATATGGTTAAAATCTTATTTTGATTTTTATACTTTGAAGAAAAACTCTTTTTTAGTTATGTACATAAAAAAATTCTTTTTTAATCCATTTGAGTTGTAAATTTTCATTTTGATCTCGTAGGCATGCATTTTTGTCTGGTTAAAGTGTTCATAATTGGGTATCTATCTAAAATGGCATTATGTGATTTACGATCTGGGTTCTTGTTTTTTTAGTACATTATTTGAAAGAATTTGAGATTCAAGAAATTGCCCTCAAACTGTTTGATGAAATACCAAAACGAATAGCACTAAAAAATGCCAAAGCTGATTTTTTATTTTTTGATATTTTCGAGTGATCCATGATTGCCTCTTGCCGTGGGAACAAGGATAGTATTTACTTCATGTTCTTCCAATATTTAAGGGTGCTTATAGGGTGAACCCTTTTTGTATCCAGATTTGGAGTTTTATCTTGGATTGGTTTCCTTTTGGTTAAACCTCCATTTGGTCCCTGAACTATTATATAGTCCCTGATTTGGTCTTTAAACTAAAAAAATCCTTGATTTGGTCCCTCAACTATTGTATAGATCCCCGATTTAATCCCTATTGTTTACCAATTTACCCCAAATTGGTCTTTCTGTACAAAAAACAACTGATGTGTATATTACTTAATGGTAAAAAATAGGTTAAAACCCTATTTTGGTTCTTGAACTATTGTATGGACCCCCGATTTGGTCCCTACTGTTTACCATTTTTACCCTGATTTCGTCCTTCTGTTAAAAATTGTGTGATGTGGCCTGTTATTTCACGGTTACCAAATGACATGTCATATAGTAATCCACGTGGAAGATAATATAGCCAAAAAAGTGATGATGTGGAAAAAATAATAATATAAAAAAATATTATGAAAAATAAATTTAAAATTTTTTTTCTTTTTTCTTTTTTTTCTTTTTTCTTTCTCCTTCCCCTTTCCCTTTCCCTTTCTCCTTCCCCTTTCCCTTCTCTTTCCCCTCGAAACCCAACAGGCTTGGGTTCCTTCGAACCCACCCAGGCGCTGGGTTCCTTGCGAACCCAGCACGCTTGCCCGGGTTGGGTTCCCTCGAACCCACACCTGGGTTCTTCGAACCCAGCTGGTTCGCCGCTGAGCTGGGTTCCGTTGAACCCAGGCATGGGTTCAACGGAACCCAGGCGT